CCACTGCACTCCAGTCTGGGTGACAGAGTGAGACTCCAACTCAAAAAAAAAACAAAGAAGGCAGTAAAGACACTTGATTGGGAAGATTTTCCAAATGAGGTATGTTATCTGTAGATTCAACTGCCAAGTTTGTTTTGAAGCAAATGTCCCATGTGACCAACCTTCATACCTGCAAATACTCGTGACTTAAGGGAGCTGTTTTTATCTTTGGACATTAGGAGAGATTAGCAGTATTAATATCATGAGCCTCTCATTTTAATAGACTATCATAGAAAAGACACATTTCACATGGGGTTTGGGCTCTTGAAAGGATTTCAGAGTGTTGGTGCCATTTGGATGCCTTATGCTGTCTGCAGAAAAAGTACTTTGTGGACCATCGGAGAGTGCTTGTCCGAGGGGGCAGCGGAGGTGCAGGGGCGAGCTGCTTCCATAGTGAGCCCCGCAAGGAGTTCGGAGGCCCCGACGGTGGGGACGGAGGCAGCGGTGGCCATGTCATCCTGAGAGGCACGTGCCCTGGGGCAGCTGGGCAAGCTGAGGCTGGGTTTGTACATACATGTGAATTGAATACCTGAGGTGTGCTTGGCATTTTTGTAACTCATGTGTTTTGTTTTAGTTAAATTTTGGGAACACAAAGATAGCTTCCTGTCAGGGAATGTGACATGAGAGGACCTGTCACAGGGGGGAATCCATGGTGGTGTGGGGAGTGCCAGGCAGCTTCATGATGTTAACACTCTTATTACAAGACTTGGTGAGCTGGGCAGAAGCGGCCACGGCATCATCAGAGAATGTCACATCTCTTAAATTTTTGATGACATTATGAGTAATGGTAAAATCTTCAGAAATGACAGTATTTTTTGAAGGAAAATAAGAATTTAGCTTTAAAAAAATCATGTTGCTGGCTTGGTACCTTCTGGCCCAGCTTCCTTATGTGTGTCCATACACGTGTTTAAGGTTCTTGAACTGGACAGGAGAACAGTAGCAGTGGGCCAGGGTTGCTTCAACACAGGGATGTGAGGCTCTTGCTCTGCCTTCAGTTGACCAGCAAGTCAAGTCCCTGTCATCCGTCCTGTCGCGATATCACGGTTTTGATGGAGAAGATGGCAGCAGGAAGAACTGCTTTGGGCGAGGTGGTGCAACCCTCTACATCCGGGTAAGCCAAAGCAGCGGGAGCCAGCACCGCTGCTGTCCTGGGGCCATGGTGTGACCCTGGGGTCCATGGCTCAGTGCACATAGCCAGCAAATAGTGCAGCAGAAATGGAGGCAGACAGGCGGAGAGCAGCTCTGCCTCCCTAACAAAGCCGCCTAGACAGAGGCTTTTGTACAGTGTTATGCCATGTGTATATCTGACCTAGTAAAAACTTATGAAATAGTTATTTTTTATGAAGAGGGAACTAGGTCAGGCACAGTGGCTACACCTATAATCCTGGCACTTTGAGGTTGAGGCAGGAAGATCACTTGAGGCCAGGAGTTCAAGACCAACCTGAGCAACATACCAAGACCCTATCTATACAAAAGATTAGAAGAAAATTAGCCAGGCATGGTAGCGCACACCTATAATTCCATCTACAGTCTGGACAACATAGCAGGACCCCATCTCTACAAAAAATAAAAGCTGAGTTTGATGGCATATGCCTGTATAGTCCCAGCTATTCTGGAGGCTGAGGCAGAAGAACTTCTTGAACCCAGGAGACTGAGGCTGCAGTGAGCTATATGGTTGCACCACAGCACTCCAGCCTGGGCCTGGGCTAGAGTGAGACCCTGTTTCTAAGGAAACAAAAAGAGGGAACCCACACAGTAAACTCTTGCTGTGACTTTGGCCCCATGAGCCACCTCACACTGAGAGTGGCCCTCACCACCCAGCAGCCCAGGCCTGTCCTTCATGAGCTGAGTTCATGCTTCTCTTAGGGGAGCAGCTTTTTCCAATACTTTAGCTTACCCCAATTCTTAGCAACACTCCTTGAAAAGCCATATCTGTAGTGTGAAAGTGTGTACCCAGCCCCATAACCTCCCCAGAGGTCTGGGGCCTTTTTCTTGTGCTCTGGAGCTGTGAGGAGATGAGTGCAACCCCGCCTCCCTGGTCTAAGCTGGGGCCCCACCCCAGGCACAGTCCAGCCCCCCTCCCCGCTTCCTCATGTGACTAAGGAGTGAGTGGGCACAGTTTTTGCTTGCACCTCGAGGAAATAGGCCTGACACGCCATGCTATGTTCCAGGTCCCCATGGGCACATTGGTGAAGGAGGGGGATGAGATCGTGGCTGACCTGTCTCGCCCGGGTGATGAGTATGTTGCTGCGCTGGGCGGGGAAGGAGGAAAGGGCAACCGCTTCTTCCTGGCCAATGACAACCGCGCCCCTGTGACCTGTACCCCGGGGCAGTTGGGGCAGGAACGAGTGCTCTACCTGGAGCTCAAGACGGTGGCCCACGCCGGGATGGTAGGTGTCCCTGGTCCCTGATGGGACCTGCTGCTGACCTAGAACACTTCCCCAGCTCCCCCTCAGCCCTGACCTGACCTTGCCTCCCGTCTCAGGCACCTGCTTCTGTGTTCTGTGATGCTCCTCACTCTCTCATCCAGGTGGGATTCCCCAACGCAGGGAAATCCTCACTCCTTCGGGCCATTTCAAATGCAAGACCCGCAGTGGCCTCGTACCCGTTCACCACCTTGAACCCGCACGTGGGGATCGTCCACTACGAAGACCACCACCAAGTAGCAGGTAGGACTCCAAAATCCTGTCCAGAGGTTAGGTTTACATGCATGTCGTTTGGGAAAATAATTATGTAAATCTTAAACTTAGCTCCTGTTTAAAATGTAGAGTGTTGGGGCAACCCCTTCAGGTCCCCTCCCATGTGGGAGCTTTTCTGTCCTCAATAAATCGTGCTTTCACACACACACACACACACACACACACACACACACACACACAAAATATAGCAGTGTTGCTGGGGTTTAGTGGCTCACGCCTGCAGTCCCAGCACATTGGGAGGCCAAGTTGGGAGGATGGCTTGAGCCCAGGAATTCGAGACCAGCCTAGACCGCATAGTGAGACCCCATCTCTACAAAAAAATCAAATTAACCAGGTGTGGTGGTGTGCACCTGTAGTCCTAACTGCTTGGGAGGCTGAAGGAGGCTGAGCCTAGGAGGTCAAGGCTTCAGTGAACTGTGACAGCACCATTGCACTACAGCCTGGGTGACAGAGTGAGACTGCGACTCAAAAAATAAAATGTGAGCCTGGCTTGGTGGCTCAGCCTGTAATCCCACGCCTTTGGGAGGCTGAGGCGAGTGGATTGCCTGAACCCGCGGGGTCGAGACTCGCCTGGGCAACTTGGCA